ATGGATGCTCACATAGAGCCACTGCATACTCAGCGACCACGGTCTTTCCTGCTGATGTATGAGCAGCAACAAAAACTGACTCCCCTTTCTCCATGCAAACAACGGCAGCCTGTTGGAAGGCATCCAGCTCGAAAGGATACTGAAAGCACCGCACCTGTGCAGCTGAGTAAAAGAGCAAGACAACAAATAAGTCGCAACGGCGTTCGCAGTGAAGTGGATGTCAGATCGAGGACTGTGAAATCATCTACCTGACATCCACCTAATGAGTACTTGCGCTGAGATCAAGGTTGTGTTGAGATACAGTACCATCAAAATTCACTTAGATAAGAGGGTTGAAGGGAGACATTTTCAACTGTATTCAGAGAAAAATGATGAAAAGGCACCTTCTTAGCCATATTTGGCATCAACGACTTGTACTCAGTGTGGCATGACTCAGGATCGAGCTGCTTTGCATAGGCATAGCGTTCAGGAGGTGAAAATGTCACAGCAGGTTTCGGCAAATCCTTCTCGAGGGCTGCCTTCAAAATTGACAATTATTACAAGAAGTGAGTCAAACACTGGATTTTTTTTTGAACACGGACGTATTGTAAAAAAAATCTGCACAGGAATATACGCCACTGGCATCACATACTGACCACAATATTTTGAGTAAGATCATGAAAAAATCACCAATAAGCGCTTCAAATGGTAGGTCTACTGGAAGAGGCGGAGCACCTAGAAATACGCTCCATCGCGCGCTCTCCCACTGTTCTCTAGAAAATTACCGAGATTCAACAGTCACACTCTTATCCTCGCAGTACAATTCTAAGTATAGTTCCACGTCCAACGATCATTCACAGATTTGTACCCCCTTATAGCTCACGAGAAAGTGTACTGCAGAGCCTGAGCTATATTCTGGTGGGCGCTCACAAATTTCCTGGAACGATCCACGGATCGGCAGTACGCGCGACGGAATGGATCTGCTCGAATTGCTAGCTTCACGCTGACGGACGCGTAGCACGACGTTTGGCCAAACTCACATTTCGTTCACTTTACCTTTACGCGCGACGTTTTTCGTGTTTGGAAGCGGAGGTGCGTATGAGCTATTGGGCCCGAAAAAGAATTCAATCATTGCCGGTGATGAAATCATTGAAGGTTCAAAGACTACTGATGTGAAATTAAAAATGTCGACTACATACACCCCAACTCAACTAGCCGTTACACTTTTCTGCCATCATTCTGCCATTAACTGACGGAGGGAGAGAATGATTCCCGAAAATGCCATGGAAACCGTTGTGGTGCACAATGGCGTGCAAAAGAAAGAGTGAAGAAGAACTCCAACGGACGATACATGAGCGCGAAGAGTCTGTCCGGATTGCAGTTATTTGTTTGAGTCAGTAAGCAAACCATGTAAATGATGAACAAACAATCATTCGAAAGCTAATTTAAAATGTTTAGACTGCATACCCCTACTGATCGGCTATCCTATATCTACAGGGGAATCCGGCTCCTTTGGCTCAAGGGTTATTTGCGGCTCTTCAGGGCTTTTTTCTTTTTCCATGGAAGAAGTCTCAGCAGGCAGTATCAAAGGAGCGCCTGTCGAAATGACCATCGTTAGTATTGTGGGCATGACTTGCAGCCCCAAACAAATGCAGACCTCCACCAACGAAGTCCATGAGGTCAAACAAGTCAGCAGAGTCAAAATCTATGGTTCCATCTTGTTTTAGATTGAAGGTCGATACAGCTCTGTGGCATAAGGTTTCTTCTTAAAGTTTATATAGAGCAGCAGGTCTTGGTAGAACAAGGTCCAACCCTCTCTTCATTCCAGGTGCACACGAAAGCAGATCTGAAAGAGTAGTTCAACGCAATTTAAAGAAAAAAATGAGAGATTACAAAGCTGACCTTCGCGACGGAAAAATTCGTTCTCATCGCATTCAACGTTTTCTTCGCTGCCAGTGAATGCCATCACGTTACCAAACGCACTATCAAAACCACCTAGAACTCAGCTTCTTGGCAAATAAAACTTTCACTACTGCTTTAAAAGAACTGATTTTCTACCTGGATAAAACGGCACATTACTAGAAGAGCCCTTGATACTGGGTTGGTGTCATTGGCAGGCGATCTTAAAAGATGTCTATTCAGGGTTGTGCTACCGACAAATTTGACAATTTCCTCAGCGTGAGTTATCGCCGTTAAAAGTGAAAATAGATGTGCTAGTTGGTCGACGGGTATGAAGAGGATTAAATGAAATTGCTATGAACCTTTAGTAGCAAAATCCACGTCGAAAGTTTCAGCAACACGGCGCCTTTTCAATGTTCATTGCTTCCCCTCCCATGATTAGGGACAACCGTTTGTTCGCGCCATTCGAGCGGGGTGTGAGAGAGGAGAGGGCTAGTGTATTTGGGATTTGGAGAGGGGTTTTATATGGAGTTACTCGGGGTTGAACAAGATCTATCATATTTGGAAAAGTGCGAACGGTAGAAGTTGAAGGAGTCGTTGTCGCGGAAATGTGGTCATTTTTGAAGGGTTCTACCATGATATCAGCAAAAAGTTCGCGAACAAAGCACAGAATAGAGGAATATACAGGGGGGCGCGGCTTCATTGGACATATCCATACCTTCCACGCTCGACAGCTGTGT